CAAATTTTTTTTTTTTTTTTTTTTTTTTTTTTTTTTTTTTTTTTTTTTTGCTGTGTGTTTATTACGTGGAAAAATGTGATGTTGAGAAAAAATGTGATATTTTATTTTATAATATATATTTTTTACATAAGTTAACTCATCATAACTATGGTTACTCTTTCTAATTTAAAATGATTTAAACTAAATTATTATAATTTTAACTAAAAAATAACAATCTAGAATTTCCTTTTGGAGATCTGAAATGTTATATAAATTTTTAAATAAATAAATAAATAATGTTTTGAAGCAAAAATACAAAAATTAATTTTTGAACTTTAGGACAAGATTGTAGTTTTGTAATTTTAGGGATTAAATTAATAAATAGATTAGGGAAGAAACTATAATTAAAAAATTATTAGAATTTAAAAACATAAATTAAATTTCAATATTTTTATCATCAAATTATTGGAAAAATAAATTCTTATCTGTAATTTGATTAGTTGGATTGATCTTTAATAAGGTATTTTCTTTTTAATTTACGATTCTTTTGCTGATTTTTTTATTTAGCAAAAAGAAAATGATAATGAAATTCTGGAACTGATCGTGTGAGCGTATGTCGACCGTTGGATGAAGGAAGATGATCTTTGATTATCAGAGTGGGAGCCCATCTCTCGCTTAATCTCCCTATAAATTCCTCTATTCTCGTTACACGCACTCATCTCGTAACTTCAATTTTGCCGCTTTCAAAAGCCCGCGCTCTTTATCTCCTCCGTCGATCGATTCGATTTCCATTTTCGAGGAACTCTGCAATCGCTAAAATCAGGTATTGTAGTTCAGTTCTTTTGATTCTTCGATCGTGTATTTTGAAATTTCTCCTCATTTTGTGGATCGATTTGTTAGATTCAAGTGCATGATGAAATTCCACTGATTATTCACTTGGCTCGTCGTGTTTGTAGCCAATGAGATGGATTTACTTGTTTGGAGTTACTTTATGCGTAGATTGTGTATAGTTTGAGTCGGCAGGGCGTGAATTCGATTCGCTTATTAGTTCCCGATTTGTTCCTTTAATATGGTAGAGAATTAGAAGTGAGAATACCGTAGAAGAGGAGATCGCTTATTAGGTTCCTGATTTGTTCCTTTATTATGGTAGAGAATTAGAAGTGAGAATACCGTAGTAAGAGGAGATCGCTTATTAGGTTCCTGATTCGTTCCTTTAATATGGTAGAGAATTAGAGTGAGAATACCGTAGTAAGAGGAGATCGCTTATTAGGTTCCTGATTTGATCCTTTAATATGGTAGAGAATTAGAGTGAGAATACCGTAGTAAGAGGAGAATTTTTGGATAGTCTCGAAGCTAAAATATGAGCTATTGAATCAAAATAATCCGCACCGCAGTGACCATCGTGTATATTCTTACTGTTATAATTATTTCTGCTTTCCAAATTTCGTGAACGAGTTGCACTGACATTTGATAAATGAAGTAATTGTTTGTAATGAAGAAGAAAAGTACTCGTGAAATGGTGTCTGCTAGTTATGTAGACAGCGCTTGAAACTTTTTATTGATTTGGTGTTAATGCCAAACAAATTCAAGCATGGTTGTCATGGTCAAACTTGATAGTTTGCTTTTTATTAAATGTTTTCCCTCTCTGAAAGACATCTTCCTGGTGTATTATTCTATAGATGGATACTTCAAACCCTTCAGTTTTTGTCAACGCTGAGCTTTTACGCCTGTATGTTGGAAGAAGAGTTCGGGCAGTGATTCAGGTACAGTCTGAAGGCAACGGAGTCATATATGGTAAATCGACAGATAACAATCAGATTGTTGTGAAAGGCTCCCCACCCTTTCCCCTTTCGAAGTTTGTTGAGGTCATTGGAATTGCTGATACTGACAAATCCATACGAGCTGATGTTTGGACCAATTTTGGCGACTCATTCGGTATGATCCCTTCTTGAGCTATCCTTATTCTAGAATAACATTTGAACCAATTTAGCATAATTCCCCTGTACATGTCATCTGAAGTTAATTTATGTTCTTTGAATTGGCTTGAAGAGAGGACCGTTGATCAGTTTTTAGCTAATAATTGATTTTGCCAAGAGCAGAATTGAGTAATGAATTGTGGGATTTCTAGAGCATAAGATACTTAGATCATAAGTTTGTAATCTGGATTATTCCCACTGTGAAATTTAATCTGTATTTGATGTTCATTCTGTATCAAGTTGAATTCAAATCAATCCACGTTAATTAGCTCATATATTACACTTCATTTTTGTTTTTTTCACTTTAGACGATGAACCTCAGATAGATCTGCTTGAAATATATGCTCAAGTTACTTATAGAATCCTCTTTGGATTATATTTTAACGTTGTTTGAATCTGGGTGTGTGATTGAATTTTTATGAACTATCAGATCAAGTAGCATTCTGAATTCTTTGTTCAACTCTATTTGCAGATACATCTACCTTCAATAAACTATGTCAGCTTGCTAATGGGGAGTTCAAACCCTTGTTTATCTGATATTCAAGCTAGACATTCTTTGGTAAGAAAGCTCAACCTCTACCGTCACCTCTCGTGGCACGCTAAGTCGCCGATGTTTCTTCATGTTCTTCTGAAGCTTCTGAGAGATCTATCTCTCATACGGGGTAATGGATATACTAAATTTGAGTATGCAATGAATGTTTGTGTCAGAATATAGTGTAATGAACACTGCTTCAAAATATCAATCAAGAAGCTATTTTGATCATTTTTGGCCGGGGCAGTTTTAGGTTATTTTGATCATTTTTGCTATTTCCTTACCTCAATTTCTAGAAACCTTAAGCTCAAATAGTAGAGTTTGTAAGAGCTTTCCCTTTCCCTATCCCTTCTGATATAAACTATAATGATTGTACCCAAAAAAATTATGATCAAACTTAGTTTTTCAACTTCTTTAATATCTACTTATAACATAAATGTTATATTCAAATTAAGAAATTAGTGATTTACTAAATGTGAGATCAGATAAGATTAAGATGACACTGTCCAAATTTTTATTGTGAGATTCCGGAGAAGGGAATGAAGCATTTATTATAAGGGTGTAAAATCTTTCTCTAACATACGCGTTTTAAAATTGTGAGATTGAGACAATACATAACGAGCAAAAGCAGACAATATCAATTAGCAATAGCCTTTAGCTATTACAAATGGGCATTAGAGCCATGATATTGGGAGTGTGCCAGCAAGGATGCGGGCCCCAAAGGAGATCGGGTTGTGAGATCCCACGTTGGTTGGAGAGGGAACAAATATTTATTACAAGGGTGTGGTGTGAAAACTTAATTTCTCCTTTCAAAACCATGCGACCGACGGCGACTAACAAGCAAGAGCAGAAAATATCTGTCAGTGGTATCGTGGATTATTACACTAGAATCCTATTTTAGATTTTATTTGATTTTTTAGAAAAACCATAATTTAATGAACCTAGTAAACATTAATAATAAGCCCATATATATATATATATATATATCTCGAGAGAGAGAGAGAGATTAACACAATATTAAAAATTAGTCATGATGGTGTTAAGATGAAGAATTAGGCAAACTAATAATACATAAATAATTAATACATAACCAACAAAACGCACACAGGTCCTCGTAAACATTAATAGTCCTAAAACTTGATTTCTCCTCCTCCCCTACTAAATAAAACCCTAATAATTCTGAATTTCGGTGAAAATTCAAGCACAAATAGGACACTGAATCAACCCATTTTCATTACACTCACAACATTTCATCGTCTTCTTCTTCGTCTCATCCAAAACCTTACAGCTTCCATTGCAATCCACACACAACACAAACCTCACGCCCCCGCATCCTTCACACCCTCCTCCGCCCGCCGCTCTCTGAATCCCCTCAAACAGAACCTCCAATTTCCCCTCCTCCTCCATTTTCAACACCTCCGCCGCCCCTCCGATTAGTCTCCCCTTCACAAAAACCGCCGGGACTTTCACCTCTTTACTGTCTATTAACGCCCTCAGTTCCTCTCTGAAACCGGAATCCATCGATATGTCTCGCTCGATCAAGTGAATGCCGTAAGATTCGACGATCGATCGAACCTTGTTGCAGTCCTCGAATGTCTTTCTGATTCCTCGAAGTGTCGTCGTGTAGATTACGACGGCGGTTTCGCCGCCGGGCGGGCGACGTTCCTCGAACTCTTTTTTTAGGGCAATGTCCGATTCTTGAAAATGTCTCGCGGCCGCCTTAGATTTCGGCGTCTCTGAAACGATTCTCTTGATTTGTTCTCCTTCTTCGTTTAATTCTTTCTCGTACGACGCTACCAGCTCTGGATCGAATAGTGGACTCAAACTCCTCCGTCTAGCCGAGAAATGGCCCGAATCGCTTCGGAAACTCTGCCTTCTCGCCGAAATCGGCGTATTCTTCACCGGAACACTCAATTTCAGAGCCGATTTGGGAGAAACTACTGACGATTTCGGCGTATTCCTTCTCGGACTGTTATCCTTCCCGACGCCATTGACTCTGCCACGATTCTCCTTCCCGACGGACCTAATCGCCTTCTTCGGAGTACCAATTTGATTAAAGAACTTCAACGGACTTCTTCGATCCAAATCGACCAATCCGCGAAGAAACACTCTAGTTTTAGGGCTTTTTTTGCCCCGATTTGCCATCGGAATTCCTTCTTCAAGGCCATCCATAAGCTCCCAAGTGTTAATCACTTCTAATTCTTCGCGAGGAGGCGATATCTTCGTCGCCTCTGCAACTAAATCCTTCGATTTCTGATCGGCGTCGAGATTGAGAACGCCGTAAGTGCTGGAAGTTAAAGAGACGACGTGGTTGAGATACTCGCTGCCATTATTGACGACGATGTTCCTCTGAAGGTCCTTCCGGTGGAGCTTTGAAGAGACGCACCCCATTGATCCTTCTTCTTCTTCGATTTCTCAGAGCTTTTTAAGTGTAGAACAGAAGTTGCAGATCCGAAGAGATTTAGTGGATGAGTTTTTCAGTTATTATTATTATTATTATTTTTTTTTTTTTTGAATGGTAACCGTTACTACATCGTCTATACGGGCCCCAACGGTCGAAAATTTCGAATGGGAATTCTTGTTCTTCGGGAATTTTCCTCTCTTCGAAATTTGCCCCATGTTTTTTTATAATATGATTTCAACCCCCCACTTTTCCCACTATTGCAGCCCTTTTTTCCTCTCTCTAATTTTTTTTTTTATTTTTTGTTTTGTTTTTTATAATAATGTTCATTTGGTCTTTTCTTGAATTAAAATTATTAATAAAATTTATTTCATTTAAATTTAAATTTAAATTAATATACATTTAGGACGTGTTATTTATTATCAGCATTACTTTTCTAAAGTCGGATAATTGAATTTTCATAACTTACTAAAAAAGAAAAGAAGAATATTTATTATTACTATTTACTTAATCTAAACTCACCTATATGAATCATTACTGATAAATATTGACTTCAAAATATTACAAAAAAAAAAAATGTGACAAAAAAACAAACAATTATTTGATAGCCAACTTTTTAGTAGAATTTGAATATATACGTAAAAAAAAATTATTATCTTAATGGAGATATTGGAACATTATAAATTTAGTTCAATAATTATTTGATTTTTTTTAATTGTATTTTTTTTTTTTTTTGTCATGGTTTTAACTTTCTTAAAAAGAATATTTATCTTTAGCAATATTAAAAGAAAATTAAATTATTTTATTAGTTTTAAATTTTAACTTGAATTTTTTAAATATTTGTTAAAAGTAGATAAATAAAAATAATATTTATAGGTTTAATTTTAAAAACTAAATAACTTTAAATAAACTTTTTTTTTTATTAAAGTTTATGGAATAAAAGTTGTTTTTTATCCCAAAAAAAAGGGAAACAATCACTTTTCAATTGGATGTCCCATTGAAGGCGAGTCCAACTCAAATCATTATAGGTGTTTTTTCATAGGACAAACGCTATGATGTAGGTATTCCACGTGGTCAAATATAATTGGTTAGATTTTTCATAGCCTCCATGTATACAATTTGACTTGGTTTTGACGACCCATCGTCATCCTTAACAATTGTCAACTGCTTAAACGAACCGACACATCGTTCTCTCCATAAAATTATTATATTTACAAAATAAATGAAGTAAATAGTGATATTAAGAATTATATTTTAAAAATGTCTTAGTGTTCAATGTACATTATAAATTTAATAAAATCGTTTAAATTAAAATTAATTTTTTAAATTATGTTAATGATTTTTTCCTTTAATAAATTGAACATAAAATGGGGTTTACCTTGGATGTAATACCAATTCCATACAATTAACTAAATCACATAAATTCTATTTTAAAAATAAAAATAATAAAAATATATAATTAATGTAAGAAGAATTATTGTAGCGTCACATGTCATCACATTTACGAGAATTATTAGAAACGAATAAACATATATGATTTGAAATTTTTTTAAGTTAGGAAAATCACATGGTAGGTTTAACTTAATTGGTACACGAAATTGATTTTTTTTTTTTTTTTGTCTTAATTAACATCTCATCTATTTCCTTGTAGAGGTTGGGATCCGGTGCACTTGATCTCATTTGAAGATCCTGATCCGTAAAATTCCAACGTCGATCATATGAAATTGAAATGATTTAATAGATAATGGCAAAGTAGTGCGTGGTCCTTCAATTATTGATTTTGTAGGACCTCACCGCTAATTATACTTTGCCATCTTTCGTGTTTTGTCCTAAGTTTTTAGTATTATTATTATTATTTAAACTATGTTTTAAAAAAAATTAATACCATTAAATATATAAATTAGTTTCTACTAATTTTCACTTTTTTTTTAATGAAATTTCAAATTAATAGTAAAAAATAAAATTTAGGATTTATTGAAAAAAAAATGAAAATTTTAAGGTTTATAAACTAAATATGAAACGGCACTAAGTTTTAGATAAACTAGTATAATTAATTTAATAATTAATTCATATATGATTGACAAATTAAATGACAAATCTCAGATTTTTAATTTCACTAAAATATAAATATTATATCTAGATCGACACCTGTACGAGAAAAAATAGTGACGGTCTTAATAATTTTATTCCATCAATCTATTTTATTAATTTAATATTTATTTAATTTGTTTTAGGTTTAATCAAAGCACATTTGATTGAATCTCTTACGATAATGTTCGCGACGACATGTATATCAATATAAATTATATTATAATATTTTTACTTATATTGATATACCTGTCGTCACGATAATGTTTATTCAAGACGTGTTGTTCATTAACCGTATGTCAATGTCATGAACTCTTTATGCATATGTGTTGTATTTTTTTTTATTGCTTTATTCTTGTATTAGCTTGTAATTTAAAATATGACATCTCCGCAAAATCAAATATACTCGAGGGATTTACTTAGTTTGTTACCATGAATCAAGAGAATCTATGATTTACTGTTTGTTACCAAATCTATGATTTCATGGGTTGTTACAATGTAATCTCATTATACACATTTATAAATACATGAGGTCGTGACCCATAAGTCGCAGTGTCATTCATCTTACATAGTAATTTAGTCGTATCAATAAATTGCTAAATTCTCAAATGTCGAACAAAGGACTCCAAAAGAAAAGGAGTCGAGCCTCCTCGAAGGCATGGTAAAAAATGACTAAGACTCAAAAAAAAAAAAAGAAGTTGAGGCTCGATTAAGGATAAGCGTACTTTGTTCGAGGGGAGGTGTTTGATGATGAAAGTCCACATCAGCTAATTTAAGGAATAATCATGGTTTTATAATCAAGTAATACTCTCTCCATTAGTCTAGGCCTCTTTGGGAAGCCCAAAACAAAACCACGAGAACTTATGCTCAAAGTGTTCATCTGACAGTAACTAGTCATTAATTCTTAATACTTGAAGTTTTATGTTATTTACGCAGCTGTGTGGTTTGAGTATACATTGGGTCCGGTCAAAGGCAACACGAGATGTCGATCTAGACACAACATATGAAAATAAATCATAATATTATATTTTTAGTGAAGTTGAAAATCTCAAATTTAATAAAAATTGGAATTTAAAAAAATTAAGGAATTGAATATGTTTTGTGTGGATCGTTCTGAAATAAAATAAAATAAAAAAAGGGTTTTGATTGGCTGCAGAGCTTACACGACAAGAAGTTGTACGTACTTCCATGCCCATAATGGAATCATCAAAATTATTTCAGAGTACACACTAATCTTGAGAATAACAAAGAATCATTTTCCTCTTTCACCATAAAATCTCATTTTAATCCGTTACTTATTATTTCGCGATTTTAAAATACGTTTTTTAGGGTGAGTTTTTCGTAATTCACCTTCTTTAGAGGTCGAGTGTCCTCATCAGTACTGATGTTCAACTCTAATACCACTTGTAACAGTCAAGCCTACTAGTAACAAATATGGTTTATTATAGATATTTTTCTACAATTCATCCCGTTAAAGCCCCAACGTCCTTACTACAATATCATCCAATGTCTGGCTCTAATAACATTTGTAACAGCCCAAACACACTGCTAACATATATTGTCCGAGTTGATCCGTTCTCTTCTCCTAACCAATATGGGACATCACGGTCCATCCCTCTTGGAGGCCAACCAACATCCTCGCTCTAATTAGAGTTTAAGGTTTATTTCTAAATTTGTATTTAATTCAATTTTTTTAATTGAAAAAAAAAATCCTATTATGTCATCAAAATAAAATGAAAAATGAAGAAGTTAAAAGATGAAAATAAAAAATAGGTACAAATTAATAATAATAAAAACCTAATAATTTTAGATTTGGTTGGTTTCCTCTTACCCTTGATACGTGTTTTTTTCTCCAATTAGCATTTTTTAATGTGACGATCAAATCTCAATCATTAAAGAAAATATATTTTAAAAAAAATTAATTTATTTTAAATGTTCTTTTATTGTCTATATTGAATATTATTATCAATAATTTTTTGTCCTCAATATATATACACAGTGAGATACATTGAAGAGATCCAATCGGATAACAAATCATACAGCTAATTTACTTCTTGATTTTTTATTTAAAAAATAAAGCAACTATAATTGAGGAAAAATAAAAAAAGAAAAAAAGAAAATAAATTGAAAATTTTCGATTAAAAAATTGACCTAAAGTATGTATTAAAAAAACAAACAATTTTGATTTATAAAAAGCCTCAATAATTCCGTCATCATTGTAATTAATGCCCTTGCCTCCTTATTAGCCGCTAGCTGGTCTCATTGTTTATACCATATTTGCCCCTCGTTTTATTTTTACTTTTCTAATCATATTTAAAAATACACATATTTTTGGGAGATTAAAAATTTATTAATAATATAATTATCACCTAAAATGGGAACGGTTGGGTTAGATGGACCAAACGTTTAGTAAGTATTAACCAACCTACCAAACCCAAACAACAAATCTAATAATAAATAAAGGCTAAATTATTTGTAAAATTTTTAAGTTTAAAATAATATTATTACCTTAAATTTTGGATGAAAAATGATAATTATTGTTGTAATTATTTTAAAATGTTTAAAAAATATTTCCAGCAAAAAAAATTAATTATTTTTTAAAAAGTCAATAATTTATAAATAAATAAATATATATATATATATTTACATTCACATGCCAACAAAATGAATTATAAAAAAAACAATAAATAAATTGTTAGGTTTTGGTACATTCGAGACAGAGGTGAGCCATTTGAAATAGCGACGCCGGGAAATGGAAAAAGATTTAAGATTATTTATTTATTTATTAAAGATTTGAGAAAAAAAATTATGTTAAAAACTTAAAAAAGATAATTAGAGGGGAAAATAAGTAAATCATCTGCGCTCCATATCAATCCACTGCCGTTTTGTGCTTTCGCTGTCCGTACCAATTTCACAAGGCAAAGAAAAGAATAGTCAGAAAAATCTCTCCCAATCTCTCTCCCTCTCTCTCTCTCTTTGTTGAATCTTCAAAAGACGTCTTCACGACACGCCACCGAGCTCCATCCAACCGGAAGAATTTTTCTCTGTTTTTTTTTTTTTTCCTTTTTCAATCTGTATTCTGTGGTTTAGTTCACTCTGTTTTACTATGCCGCAAGTGGATCTGGAAACTCTGGTTTCTGCATGTGCCGGCGGCGGTGCTCACGACCGGAAAATCGCCTGTGAGGAAGCTTTGGCCGATGGAGATCACCGGCAGGAAGATGAGAACAGAGAAGTGACGGAGCAACCGGAGGTTACTCCGGATGTTCCACCGGAATCGTTTTGGCTTTCGAAGGATGCGGAGTACGATTGGTTAGATCAGAACGCTTTTTACGAGCGGAAAGATTCAACAAAAGGAAGTTCGAATTCCACGAATCTGAATCCTAGTGTGAATCCAGTAACTAATTCGAATTCTCAGCGGTTTTCGTTGAATTTCAAATCCAAGGCCTCGATTCTAGGTCTTCCGAAGCTTCATAAGGCTTTCTTTGTGGATACGAAGAATCGTCGCAATTCGAAATCTGGAAACTCGAGGTTGTTCCCTAAACAATCGGGATCCTCCGGAAAATCGGACTCTGCGCTAGTCGAACCGTCGTCGCCGAAAGTTTCGTGTATGGGGAGAGTGAGATCGAAGCGAGATCGGAGTCGCCAGTGGAAGAATCGCCGCCATCCCTCCGAACCAGCGCCGCCGCAGGAAAATCCAGACAGAAAAGACTCCAAACGCGGCTTCTTTTCGCCTTTACGGTCTCTTTTCCGAGGTTGGAAAAAACCTCCAGCGGTTAAAATAACCTCTCCAGTAGCCGGAAACCCGCCGGCAACGAAAGCGTCTGATAAGATCACGCTCAACATCGAAGCACTAACGCCGGAATCTCATCCTAGAAGGAGCGTGGAGATCGAACCGCCCGGTTTGGGCGGTGTTAAGCGGTACGCATCGGGAAGGCGGTCAGGATCCTGGGTTGTCGGCGACGGTGAGTAATCGCCGGCCGACGGAGTCTGCTACTCTGAGCTTCTCGGTACCTTGTGGCGTGGGATGTCGGCGGGGCCATCGGGATTAGGTGGACTAATGGTGGGCCCACGTTTTTTTGTTCGTATCGTGGACGGATGACGTGGCACTTTGATTTAACCGTCCTCATCTCACTCTCGTGCTTCACAAGTAAATTATTTAAACGATCCCTACGGGTTTCGACATGTAATTTTGCCTCTCCTTCTTGCAGTTATTTTTCAATGTCATTTCTTGCATGCAACGGTGCCGTTTTGTAAATACAAATTGTGTGTGATTATTTATTATTTGGGTTTTCGTTTTATAATACCTTTTATATATGTAAGGACTAAACGGCAATGATAAGTACTTGAAGGACTGGACTGCAATTTATTTTATTTTTTGCTTACCAAAAAAAAAAAAAAAAAAAAAAAAAAAAAAAAAAAAAAAAAAAAAAAAAAAAAAAAAAAAAACAAAAAAAAAA